CCCCCCCCCCCATTTACTCTTCATATTACTATTGACAATATTTAGCACTCATAACACTCCAATGCGGACTAGCATTTGTACTTCCGCTATAGCAGAGTCGCTCCGCCGAGCCTCATTCTCCCTCTGCAAACCCCCGCCCCCCCTCTTCTTCCCATTTATAGATGACACAAACCACCCTGTCACACGACTCTGATTTAGAGATGCTTATAGCAGTTCTTTGTTCCACAGGTTTCCCCTAGATCCACTCCCAGTCACTCTTACACAGGGTGTCTGTGGAGTATCAGAAGGTGTTGGGGGCTGATAAGTCAATATAGTGCAGTTTGAGGGCCTTTAAAGTATTAGAAAGTCTTAGATTCCTTTACAAGGTAATACATTTATTGTTGTACAAGGTATCATCGTATGCTAAAGTTCGACTGTATTCAAGCTGTGAATATCAGGATACTAGGTAGTTACGTAATCAGTAAAATTCTACTAAGGTTTGACAGCTTGCCGCTTGTTTACTGCAACACTATCTGCAGCTGGTCTGCAGCTGTATAGGTGACAACCTGTCGAATCGGCTAGATTTTAATATACATGTTTCTGTATTTGAATGTTTAGTTGGATTCATTTATTACATTTTAATATTTAGTAAATATTCCGTAAGATAAATCTTGCCAGCATTTTTGATTGAAAGTGGTGATAAGGTCTTTAAATGTGTGGAAAAAGTATTAAAGGTGTTGAATTACTTCTCTTATTCCTGTATACTATGTTTCAGAATATGAGCAGCCATCACAGAAGTACAAAGGGCAGCAACAAATCCAGATCCTAGGAAGGTGGTCACCTGATGCCTTCAAGACATGCGTCCTAGCCACTGGCCCCCCCAAAGAAGCCCAGATGGCTCTTGTCAGCCATAATCCCACATCCACTCAAGGGCAGGGTGTGACCCAGCCACCTTACCTTCTTCTTTTTTTCTTCTTCTAGCCTGAGTAACACTCAGTTTTCTCCCCCAGCCACATAGGTAATTGGAGTTTCATCCAAGCCCCCCGTCACCCCGCCACCCTGGCCGTTTCCGCTGGAGTCTTCACAGCCCCCTCCCATTTCCCGACTCCTGCCGGACCCCGCCCCCCCTAAAGCTCTGACTTCCGCAGAAGTGTTACCCCGAGCTACGACCCCCGCAGGGGTCGTCTCACCGTCCCTTCCAGGCCTTAGCAATCTTTATTTATATATATATATATAATTATATATATATTTATATATTTATAATAGTGAATATATATAATTATATATATTTATATATATATTTATATATTATATATATATATACACCTATACATAGATATATATTTATAATAGCGCTGTCACTCCCCCGCTCCATCTCCTAACGGAGTGTTCCTCGAGCACCTAACTCATCCCGTCACCCTCTAACAGGAATCTTCACTGTCCAAATCCCATATTCCCAGACTCCTGCTAGAGTAGGCCAGCTTGCCCTGTTCCCCGGGCACCGACCCCCGCAGGGGTCAGTCACTGCCCCCCCCCCAGGCCACTGAAACTCATTATCAATCAATCAATCAATCAAGCCTTTATTTGTCACTACACTTTCGTATAGCGAAATTGGACCCCCCAGACCATACACAAAACATCACAAACAACTTTTCAGGGGAGACAGATCTTAGGAGGCAGCATTTAGAAACGAAGAAAGATACATTTGGACAGTTAGGCTAAAAAACACCCCCTCAGCTTGCCCTTGATTAGGACAAAGTGAGAAAAGGGAGAAAAACAGCCCTATCTTAGCATAAGCACACCGGCAAGACACAACATAGACAGAGTATTATTATATATATATATATCTATGGACTTTCGTTTATAGATATATATTTATATAGAGCGCTGTCACTCCCCGCTCCATCTCCAGTCGGAGTGTTCCACAAGCATCAACTACAGCGGGAGTCTGGCCAAACTTGCCACTCACCCTCTAGCAGAAATCTCCACCGCCCAAATCACACTTCACGATTTCTGCTAGAGATGGCAAAATAAAATAAAAAATTGCTGCACCCAACTCCCGCAGCGCCCATTCCGACTCACAGAAGTCTCCTGATCACCCTTCCAGGCCTTAGATTACCCCATTATATATATATATATTTATATACTCTCTTATATATACATATATATTCATATATAGCGCTGCCACTTCCCTGCTCTATCTCCGTTTGGAGTGTTCCTCGAGCATATTTTTGACTCTTAATGAGCCAACCCCACCCACCCCTTATGGCCCCTCTTCACTAGTCTCCCCCCAACCCCTTCCCCCGCTCTGGCTTCCACAGGAGTCAGTTTCAAACTTTGCTCCAACTGGAGCCCCCTACTCTTTCTTCATTCCTTAATTTCTATATCCAGCAGCCGGATATAGTAAAAACTTTCTAGCATTTTGGGGGAAATTCTTTGAAATACTCGGCTGCTGTCCCGAGCTGGAGGCATTTTTTGGGGAGCGATCGAGACCTACCTGATCTCGGTTCTCCTGATATGCTTCTAGACTGGGGCGGGAGCCCTGGGCTCAAATATCTCCGAGCTCAGGGTTCTCTCCCGGGACAGCATGCCAAACCTGCTATAAGTGCCAAGCATATCTAAGTGGGAACTCTTGAAAGGGGGAGATGTTTGGTTCCGCCTCTCCACTGGAGTGCAACATATGGATGTTGACATTTGGTAAAGACTGTGAAAGGCAACTTTTTGTTGCATTAGTGAGGTTGATTGTACTGATATGTTGGTACCTTATGCTGCATTGCGGTTAAGGGTTAGAAAAGAGACTTTCTTCTGATATAGTCCCTCTTAAGGCTGATTAATACTTCTGCGTCAAGCCCATGCTTAAGCTACGGCGCTAAAGCATAGCCCTACGCCGTGGTCGTAGATGTCGCTGACGTGCACCTCTCAAAAAATGTAACTACACATCGCAACGACGTGTAGCGCAAGCTCTGTGATTGGTCGGCTTAGTAGCGCTGACGAGTCTGGTCGGGACTGAGAGCCGCGCGAGCCCAATAGAGCGATTGTTTAAAAGTGTGGAGTCCCGTGAGGAAGCTCCAGATAAAAAGTTTTGTTTTATGTTTACCTTATAGAAAAGTTGTTGCACGTCCGCCGGTTTGTGCTTCAAAAAGAGCGAGTTTGAGTCACTTGTAGATTCAGGAAGTGGTCAGAAAAAACAAAGCACCAGCGAAGAAACCTGACATAGAGGAACATTTACACCTCACTGCCAACTAGCGTTTCGGAAGTGTTAATGCAGACCAACAGAGACAGCGCGCAGAAGTATAAATGCACAGCTACGAGTTGAATATTTAGCAGACCAGAATATTTTTACCACAACAATTTACAGTCACTTGTCCAACAGTCTTTGAATAAATCATAAGGTATGAACTCCTATTTTATAAACATACAAGGGCAATTATTGTCTATTTGCTCCGTGCGCTGTTCCAGATAGCCAAACAAGCTACATCATCCTTTACCTTAGGTTCTTCGCAACAAAATTAGTCCATTTTCAGCTTTTTCTGTTCTTGTGTGAATGAGTAATCCCCTGCTATGTCTTGTAAGTGCCAAATGCAATAAATTTGGGTCATGAAATTCCAAAATTCAAAAAAATACGATAACGTATTTACAAAATGACCCTTTTTTTTATACTAGTCATTTTTCAAAATCTTTTGTTAGACTTTGCACATTACTTTTATAAAATATCTATTTATATATAATTGCAGTTTATATATATTTGTACATTATTTATTTTACATTTAATGTGTGAAGGCCGTTTGGACATTGAAAAATAAAATGGAAAAAAGTACTACTGTGCCATTTGCTTTTTTGATATAGTGTTATGATTTTGATGTGGTTATGAAGAAGTAAAATTATGATTTTTGTGATAATAACCCTTGTAATATCTTGTTTTTCACTTTTGACAGGTAGGAAACTTGTGTTGTTTTTTCCCACCCTTCGGTTAAACTAAAATGATTCTTGCATACTACATGATTAAGACAAAATAATTTTTTCTCGTGCGTCCTGACATATGCTGGTAACAAACAAAAACTGTCCTCAGTTTGATAGAGCACACAGGGCCTGAGTTATGCACTAAGACTTGCTTTAAAACAAAAAAAAAACAAAGCTGTTTGTGTTGAGGTGGTTCATCATAGGACAGAAAACATATATAATAATAGTTAGCATTTAACAGCAGTGTTTTTTGTAATTTCAAAGGGTTTTCTTTAAAATGACATTAAGATATTGCATTTATTGTACTTTATGTGGGTGTGGTGAGACTTTAAATTTAGGTAGGGGGAAATACTTTTTTTTTGACATGTTACCTTCTTCCAGTTAGAATAGAATAACTCTTGCATGCATTATTATAGGGAGAAATGTATTTTTCTTGTGTTTACTGACACCTGCTGGAAAAAAATGGAATTTTGATTGAGCACTCAAGGCCTGAGTTCCACATTTTTTAACTTCAGTTTATATAAAACAGTATTTTATGAAATTTCAAAGGATTTCTTTTAAAATTATACCAAACTTTTGTATTTATTCCTATGCATGTGGTTATGGAAAGCTTTTTAAATCGGAAGGCCAAATTAAGGCGGAAATACCCAAAATAGCCCAAAAGCTTAACAGGTCAATTTCTGATGAGCTGCTGAAACTCATCCCACACTGAAGTTGCGGTCACACTAGAGTTTGAGCATGCAACATTTTGTTGTATGGCGCTGCGAAAAGGGGCGGGATTAAACAAGATGATTAGACATTAAAAAAAGTGAGCGATTGTCCAGAGAGGTCATGTTTTGATCTTCGATTGGTCTCACACAGTCAAGTAATGCGATTTCGCAGGTCAGAGTTTACCAAGCTTGAACTCTGCAACGCAGTGAACTGCAAAACTTGATACACAAACTTTCGTTTACAGTCTGACGGATTTGCGTGCATATGAATGGAAGTCTATGGGGAGAAAGGTCCAGTGTAACCGTGGCTTAGGTGCAAGTAAATGGTTTCTCTCCAGTGTGGATCCTCATGTGTCGGTTAAGTTGTGATGATTGTATGAAACTCTTCCCACACTGAGTGCATGTGAATGGTTTCTCTCCAGTGTGGATCCTCATGTGGTGATTAAGGGATGATGATTGGCTGAAACTCTTCCCACACTGAGTGCAAGTGAATGGTTTCTCTCCAGTGTGGATCATCATGTGTTGATTAAGGTTTGATGATCGGCTGAAGCGATTTCCACACTGAGTGCATGCGAATGGTTTCTCTCCAGTGTGGATCCTCATGTGGTGATTAAGGTGAGATGAGCAACTGAAACTCTTCCTACACTGAGTGCATGTGAATGGTTTCTCTCCAGAGTGGATAGTCATGTGTTCATTAAGGGATGATGATTTGCTGAAACTCTTCCCACAGTGAGTGCATGTGTATGGTTTCTCTCCAGTGTGGATCATCATGTGTAGATTAAAGTTTGATGATTGGCTGAAACTCTTCCCACACTGAGTGCATGTGAATGGTTTCTCTCCAGTGTGGATCATGATGTGTCGGTTAAGTTGTGATGATTGTATGAAACTCTTCCCACACTGAGTGCATGTGAATGGTTTCTCTCCAGTGTGGATCCTCATGTGGTGATTAAGGGATGATGATTGGCTGAAACTCTTCCCACACTGAGTGCATGTGAATGGTTTCTCTCCAGTGTGGATCATCATGTGTTGTTTAAGAAATAATGAGTGTCTGAAACTCTTCCCACACTGAGTGCATGAGAATGGTTTCTCTCCAGTGTGGATCATCATGTGTTTATTAAGGTGAGATGAGCAACTGAAACTCTTCACACACTGGGAGCATGTGAATGGTTTCTCTCCAGTGTGGATCATCATGTGGTAATTAAGGGATGATGATTGCCTAAAACTTTTCCCACACTGAGTGCAAGTGAATGGTTTCTCTCCAGTGTGGATCATCATGTGTTTATTAAGGTATGATGATTGGCTGAAACTCCTCCCACACTGAGTGCATGTAAATGGTTTCTCTCCAGTGTGGATCCTCATGTGTTGATTAAGGGATGATGATTTGCTGAAACTCTTCCCACACTGAGTGCATGTGAACGGTTTCTCTCCAGTGTGGATCCTCATGTGAATCTTAAAATCGCCTTTTCTTCCAAAATTCCTTCCACACTGAGTGCAGGTGAAACGATTCTTGTCTCTCCTTTTCAAAATACCATCAGTCTGTAAATGAGTTTTTTCCTCAATTTTGACATGATGTTCCTCATCTTTCCTCCCCTTATTCTCTTCAATTAGGTCTGAAATAAATAAAACATTAGTTTTCATTAAGTCTTAAAACCCTCATCAAAAGCGTAAAGGTGAAAAGACACTGGAAACATTGGCTACACACTGTAATTTTGATGCACATTAAATGTAAAATAAATCAGATCATATTTTGTTCAGTCCATTAACGTATGCACATTTGAGCAGATTCAATTCATCTTCATCTAGTTCTTTTACAATGCAAGTTGTGCTGAAGCCACTTAACTTAGAAGTTCTGGTAAATTGAAACTGTGTCAGTCCAGCTTTCAGAGTTTCTCATAAAAGTCATTTTGGTCATATTGATCAGACACAGATTTGAAAGCTGTAAAAAGCCTATTTTTATCCATATATATTCAGAATTACAACAAAATGTTTTTCTAAAATTTGTAAAGCAGACAGGAGATACTTGTTCATTCTGTGCCTGACTGGTAAATGCATCGGAAAAAAAAAAAGTTCTGAGGTAACAGTTGAACAAACAGCTGAATATTTGCCTCGCAAACATGAGATATACCTGTACAGCATCTGCATAAAGGCTGAAATATGCACCTTTCCCCTTGTGTGCTGTTGGGTCATTTTCATCCATTCTGGGTTGATTTTGTGGATTCATTTGGTCAAAACTTTCTGTGTTTTAACAAACGGACTGATATTTGGGAACATCTTATTTTGACATAATCTGGGAAAATGCTTTAAAATAAAAAACAAATCTCTCATCTGTTTCTGTAATAGTTAAATTACAGTGAGTTCATGCATCTAGCATATTGTTTTATAGCTATATTCTACTGTAACATGCATATATACATATATATCTCACAAAAGTAGCAGAACATTCCAGGAAATCCCTAATATGGATGACAATTAAAATTACAGTTAGCATTAAATAATAAATCGACTTTCTTATAAATATACCTAAGATGGCTGGAAGTACACATATAAACCATTTATGGGCGCAGTCGTGTAAATGATCAGTTAAAGCCTTTTAATATTTACTCAGATCTTATTTTCATTCAACAGCAATAGCTGGATGCCTTCATCCATATTAGGGATTTCCTGGAATGTTCTGCTACTTTTGTGAGGTATATATGGAATTTCTGCTCAAGTGTAAATGAAACAGGCATTACATGCATTTAAAGTGCTACAATGCCCACATCAACCTATTTTGAGGAAAACTAAAAAAAAAAAGAAAATAAATAATTTTCTACTTAAGAAATAATTTATTGTACCATTTTTGATACAATTGTTGTTATTTAAAAAATAGTAGCCTATTGAACATCAATATATAGCAAAGTAATGAAGTCAGAAATTCCAGTATCTGGACAACATTACACCTTAGTTAAAAATTCTGTCCAAAAGAACATGCTTGCAGCTTCGTATCACATCGAATAACAACTCACACTATAAAATAAAATATATTTTTAGATTTGAAGACAATTACATTTTCAAAAAACAAACAGAAACAGCAAATCAGGAGGAGATCGGAGGCTCAAGAGGTATGATATGGCTCATAACAGACTAGTAAATGAGAAGTGGGTTAATTTATCAATGTTTTTTCCATTTTGATGTTACGAGTTATGCTGGATCTAATCTCACTATATTTGCTAAAAGTGATATTTAATTCACCTTGTTCTCTGTATCTAACGTAGGGCTGGACAATAATATAATATCAATATATCACGATAGATTTTTTTTCAATAACGGTGATATGATTTTTAAACTCATTTCCGATATTTCGATACATTTGTGTATATGTTTTACATATGTTTTATTATGTTTTGTTATATAATATATAATATATATATATATAAAATATATATATATATATATATATATATATATATATATATATATATATATATAAGATTTTCTACCTTGTATCATTTGTCACTAAATGACTTTCCGTGCTCAGAATGAGCATGATGTCACTTGCGTGATGACAGCGCTCAGAAGTTGGTTAAGCTGCTCTGCCACAGAAAGCTACAAAATGAGCGACCTAAATACACATATAGAGGAACAAGCTTCCAGAAGTAAGAATGCAGTCAAAGTAGTTGATGTGGACGTTGTTTGGCTTTTTAAGTTCCGATCAGCTTTTTGTTTCTGCGCTCTGCAAACTGTGCGGGAGAGCGATGCCGACTAGCATCGGAAACACATCAAATAGGTTCATAAAAGTTTAAATCAACCTGTCGCCTCACCATCCACCTTCCCGACACCAAACACAGATGGCTATGAGGCGCAGTGTAGGGTTTAGCATGTCTACACATGAATATACACATATAAACATATACTATGTTCAAAACAAGTATGACACTTGCACATATTTAAACCTACTGCATGCATACACCCACATACACATACACAGACATATAAACTCGATCCGAACATAAACTTAATCCTTGGATTAAATTAAACACAAACACACACAAACACAAAACTCTCTGCATGCTGGTATAGCACGCAAGGAAACTTACAAAATAAAATTCACAAACATATGTATCAGGAATCTGGTTATTTCAAAGCTGATGAAATAGAAAGAATTTGATTAATAGAGGTATTAAATCTGTTAAATAATGAAAATGTGTTATACAAAATGTTAGTTTATATAAATAGACAATATAAAAAAATAGAACTATTTTATGTTAAATCTTTTAACTTAATTAGGTAATTACATACACAAAAATAGTCAGAAAGAACCCTAAAAGGACGTTTAAGATAAAAAGCAACCAGAACTTTAAATATACTCAAACAACTCTTTTCCTTTGCAAATATTAATGTAGCCTATACTCTTTTTAATTTGCTTTTTAATTATAATTATTATTCTTTTTCTATTTGGATTTTGGCATTATTTGACCAGAAATAATAAACTGCAGAAAACAGTCACGCTACTTGCTCTGCAAACAGGTGTGTTCATGACTATAAATACAAATAAAAATAATAAAATGAGAAAATATGACTTTGCAACATCAAGCAGCATTAGGCATGGGCCAGTATAAGAATCTGACAGTATGATATCCTAAAATATATTTTCTTCTGAGAAACTTTTAAAACATTTTTGAGCAGTAAACATGTCAGGCTAAATAATTGAAATGAATCACAGATTTCTTTACGATTTAAAACAGCCTCTTTGGTCTTTACTGCAGGAGATACTGTTGTCCTAAAAAACAAAACATTAAAAAAAATCTTACATATACTGTAGGAACGGTGCAGCAGGAAATGTTGGCGGTTTTAAAACCTTGACTTTTCCAAACTGCGGTAAACCTTGAATATAGTTATTGTCCCATGCCTCAGCAGCATAACACTGATATTTATGATCTAAAAATTTATTCTTTAAAAAAGTCTCAAACAAAAAGATTCCAATGGCGCCGCCTGTTGGTGCATGAAGAATATGGTCTATATTCTGCGAATGTAAAATATTTTATAACAATTAATTATTTTAGTGTCCATTTCATTTAGCATGCGCATTATTGGGGGGATCCACATTTTTTACATACTGTAAACCAGAGTTTCTGCAGGTTTTACAAAGATTAAATTTAAGACTTTTTATATTTTTAAGACCATTATGAATGAAATTTTAGACTCATAAAGGGCTAAAGGCTAAAGAACTTTTCAAATGGCCCAGATGGAAAAGATTTTTATTTGCCCCATCAAAATAAAATTTATTTTTAAAACTAAAAAATTAACAAATGTTTTTAAAGTTTTAAAAACTATAACAAACTAAATCTATGCACAACAATCTGTCCAGGTTGATATCCACAGCAGTAAATACATGGAGCACGTTTAAACAAATGTTATTGGGAGTAAAATAATTAAACCATTATGATAAATAGAGTTAAAATGACCTTTTTGAATAAAAAGTTGAAAGTTTTATTAAGTTGAATTGTTGGTGATTGAATAGGTTTTGGCCAGATTGGGTAGAAAAACATGAACAAAAGAAAATAAAGACTTGTATAAAAAAGATTTAAGACCTACAACACAACATTTCAGTAAATTTAAGACTTTTTAAGGCCTAAAATGTTAAGTCTTTTATGAGAATACTGTAGGTCAAATATCGTCAACTTAGTTAAACCTTTTATTAATTTATTGTTTTTATTTATTTTATAAAGCACTAAGGGCGCTTTACAAACAGTAAAAGAACAAGAAAAGCAATAACGTTAAGAAGGTAGAGAAAATGGGAGACTAAAAACACATAAAAGACAAAAGACATGAGAACAAGTGACGAAAGAAACTCATTCTGTCTTTTAATGAGTGCTTATGTGCATTTATGAGAACTAGGCAGCACACTCAGGGCTGCAAGATGGATTTAATTCAGTATTCTTATTATTAAAATATCTGAATGAGGATCAAATGACTGAGTTGGTCTTTGAGAATAAAAGTCAACCTGTTTGTTCCTGCAGGTCTTCCTGTTTGACTGTGAATGTTTCTTCAATCTTCACATCTTCCCTCTCCTCTTTAATAAACGGCATCTTTATAACAGTGTGGAGATCAGTCGATTCAGCAGGAGTTTTTCTCTGAGTTTGGACACTTTATCCTGTTTAAAATTAACAAAACAATAAAAATGTCCCGTTTAAAATAAATTAAACAATGAACAGATACAAAATAACTTCTCTTAACACTTGCTTAAACAGTTTCTTTTAATTATCAAAAAAAGAAATCAGGTAAAACATTTTTTTTAAAATAGAGGTAAAATTGGTTTTATATTCGCACATTCAGACTTTCCCCTTAATGATATAATTTCATTAAAGTATAACTTAAAGTAACTATAAAGTACAACATTGTTCACAGTCAAATAAACAGTGTTAATGTTGTTTTCAAGTCACACTTGCAAGCTAATTC